CGCAGGAGAAGATGGAGCCGTGGCCGTCCCCTGTGAGGCCACCCGGGGCGAGCGGGGTGGCCTGGGCACCGTGCGCCTGAGCAGGTAGGCCCCACGCGTCCGACTCACGCTGTGTTCAGGCAAAATGTCTCAGGGGAGGAAAAAAAACGAGTTTCCATCTCAGCGTCAGCAAGTGCTGCGGTTTCACATGAGCCTCCCGCCACTTCCAGCCTTAAACCCAGGTGTCGTCCCCTCAGGTTTCTGTGAGTCTCTGGTTTTATCTGCTTAAGAAGCACCCAGCCTTCCGTCAGTGTTAGTGGAAAGCCGTGAGAGTGGCCTGAAAACATCATCTGTGCTTAGCTGAAATGGAAATCAAAGCACTCTCACTTTTTATAAATATTTAAGCGTAATTAGGGAAGCTCAGCTGATAAAACTTGGACTCTTGTGGTTGGCTTCATCCCTGTGTAATAGGGAAAACCCGTCTGGAACTGTCTGAGGTCTAACAGAAATGATTTTACAAAAATTCCCCTCTAAAGTCAGCCGCCCAAAAAAGGAAAGCCTTCATTTAAGTCTGGATACAGCCAGCAGCATTCTGGTATTTACATAGATAGCCGTAACACCTGCACCACGTTTCTGGCAGAAATCATGGCAGAGTAACTCACCGTAGCAGATACACTAATCATAATCGCAAGGACAATTCGAAGCTGTCCGGGATGATTCACTCCAGGAGGGATGCTGAAATTGGAGTACTCTGATTGAATTGTTCCCACAATTGCTAGTATGAATGCAGCAGTAAAAATCACCAGCAGTATCACTGGCAGTATATAAAAAAATGCCATTTCCCTTAACCAGAGGTGAGGTGTCTTTACGCCTATCTTCGATTTAGATTTCTCAGATAGCAGTAGACCTCAGATCAGTCCAGGTTACAACAGATCTCTCAAGTGTAATGCACTTTAAAGTCCTTGGAAATGTTATGCAATGTGGCACGCATCACGTTGGAGAAGAGTCAGAGATGAATGTGTTTAATTTCCTGTTTAGCATCACGTTAATTGTGGGACTGATGCAGGGCCCGGTATTCTACATGGTATTCTTAGATTGTGACTGTTATGAATATTCAGAGACAGCAGTTAAGCAGTGAATGAAGTTCTAGTTTATGATGGGTTGCTATTTACAAGGAGAGCCAACTAATGTGGAGGTTAAATTGCCTCTTGCATCTGATCTGCAGCCACAACGTATTGCTTGCTGTATTGTGGATATTCTTTAAGTAGTTTGGAATCTATAGTTTTAGCAAGGACATTTAGAAAAGAAAATGGGATCTAACATGAGGGGGGGGAAAAGCTAAGTAATGTGTGCTCCATAAAATAAATGCATCAATCTTATTTTGTTGTTATTTAAGCACAGGAACAAGTTTTTCACATACTTGTGTGTTTGATAAACATAGGAAAATACTTAGAGCATTTCCTCTGTTGTAATTGGAACAGAGCTGTTTACTAAAGTATCTCTGTTGGGGACAGTTGCAGGTTTAACTTTATTTTTTAAAGTCTAAAATCCCAGTTACCTAGCCCATAGAAATTTTGCGCAAGTTGGTGACTGGGAATCTTAGACTCGGATGCTATGTGTAGCATATAGTACAAGCACTGCGTTATAGCATTGTAATATCAGTCGCTTCCTCCTTTACCAAAACACACTTAGCCTTCTGTGAAGAATGGAACCATAGATCATAACTGAATAAAATGGGTCAGACCAGGTGTTGATTTAAAATTTTACTGCATCTTTAATATTTACTGAGAGAGCAGCAAGTGTCTAGTCCAGTTAGATCATAAGCTGAAAGAAAGCAGATTTAGATTAGATATTAGGAGGAAATTTTTTACTGTGAGGGTGATGAGGCAGTGGCCCAGGTTGCCCAGAGAAGCTGTGGATGCCCCATCCCTGGAGGGGTTCAAGGCCAGGCTGGATGGGGCTTTGTGGGAGGTGTCCCTGCCCATGGCAAGGGGGTTGGAACTAGATGGGCTTTAAGGTCCCTTCCAACCCAAACCATTCTGTGATTCTACGATTAAAGTAGGCAGACTGCACATGGAATACTTCAAACACCACAAAAAGAAACTTTCATAGCATTCTTGAAATATCTTTTTCGGTGGTCACACTGGCATAACTGCCCATTAACAACTTTTCCTATCTAAACCTATTGTATGTAATTTAGAAGCATAAAAGACCACAGAAAATTGGCATTTCTTACTGAAGGAAAGAAAACTTTCTATAAGCTTTTTAGAAAGTTCATTATATTGTCAAGACCCCTTTTTCCAGATGAAAATGACAACCAGTCATTAAATGAATTCATGATTCCATGGAATCCGTCCTCAAGGTGGTACCAGGTCACTGGAACACCATTGTCCTCCAATCTCTTCTTGTAAAGCAAGCCGTCGTCTCGTAGCACATCATACTCACAGGTCAAGATGAAAGTCTTGGGCAGCTGCTGAATAATAGCATCTTCAGCTAACAGCGGACACAGGTTGGGCTCACAGAATCTTTTCACTGTCTCATAAACTTCGGTTGTAGAGTCAAGTAGCACATGTGGTTTGTAGCCTCTGACCTTAAATTTTTCAGGGATGTTATCTGGACTCACCCACTTCCTATAATTTAATTTAATATCTATAGGAATATGGGAACCCTCCAAGACCTCTTCCAGATTTGATGCATTCCCATTTAGGTACTGTAACAAGTAGAAAGCGGCACGTTCTCGGAATAAGAAAGGGACTCCCCGGTTCTGCTGATAGGACGGTAAATTGAAGTCCAGTGCCTGAAGGCCTGGGTAGATCAGGATCTGAGCACGTAGTTTGGGGAGGTCTGATCTACCTGCGAGGGTCTGGGTAACAGCAGCTGCTAGATTGCCCCCAGCACTGTCCCCGCAGACGATGACATTGGCAGGATCCACACCATAGTGCTCTGTGTTCTTCATGAAGTGTATGGTAGCGTTAAGACAGTCTTCATACGCAGCAGGGTATTTGTGTTCAGGGGCTAAACGGTACCTAGTACACAAAAGGAGACAACAAAAGTACGAGAAGGAAATATTAGTTTTAAATGTATTGCTGAACGTACTGATTCCTACAACCAGCAATAGCCTGATTACCTCGGAATTTTCCCATTTTCCGCAGGTTGATCATAAATAATCTGTGGCTGGTTGGACCAGGTGGTGCAGATTAACTTGTTAGGGTGTCACCTGTGTAGGACATTTCTGAGGAGTACTCAGCTGACAGCTGTGTCCAGGTTTTATTGACAGTCATTTAGTCATTTTATGCTTTAGCTTTACATGGGTTGGATACAAATTACAATACTTGTTTTATGTTATTATTTACAGTGCAACTATGTTCTCATAATCCAAATTGTTGTGTCAGTATATTGGTGATGGTATCAGTTTATCAGTTTGTTCTGAGTTTGGAATTTGAAAACATTGATTCAAAACTTGATTTTCCAGGTAGATATCCCAAAGCATTATATGTGATGTAGTCAGTGGAAACTTAACCTGAGTCAGTCTTCAGTGGTTCCAAACAAGAGCAGAATGAATTTGTAAATCACGTGCTTGACAGGTCCCACAGAAAGATTTCTCTGGGAATGTTTGTTGCGATGACCAGGGAAGCTATAAGGTGATATTTATACTATAGGAAATAATCTCTTTAAAAAAGCATGAGGAAAGACTCACCCAACAGATACAACTACTGATTCACTTTCTCTGGCCATAAAGCGGCATTGCTTTTCATAGGTCTCTGAAAGAAACATATTTGGTGGGGTTTGGGTTTGTTTTGGTTTGGTGTTTTTTGCCAGAGTGCTGACGTTGTCTACTGCATAAGTCAAAGAATTACAGGAAGAAAATACTCTCTTCTTTTCTCTGCCCCTTCCTACATAGCTCCTCAGATCTTTTATACCCCATCATCTTCCTTTTTCAGTATTTGCTTACTGTATTTTTTCCCCTTACATCTCATTGCCCATGTCTTTAAGAAAAATGCACATAATGCACAGCAGGTGCTTTCTTCTGACAGCAAGACTTGGGGGAGGGCATCTGTGGTTATACTTGAACTTTGTAACTGCTACAAGATCAAGCGACAATCAACTTTACCATTTATGAAGTAGATACTTCTTTAAATTATATTTTTTTCTGTTAGATATCTTACCAAGACCTCCAAATATCCATCCTCCTCCATGGAAAAACATAACTCCTCTCCTTTGGCTGGCAGATGGAGCCTTAGGCTGATAAATCCTTACAGGCACTGTCTCAAAGCTCAGGTCCTTGATGAAGAGCTTCAGGTCCCCTCCTAGAGTCTTTCTATTTTGCATGTACCGGAGAAAGCTAAGCTGACTGCAGATACCAATGTTTTCCAGAATCTTTCCCTGTTCAAAGGCAAAGAGAATGGGGAGTTCACTCAAGAGATTCTGTATTTTACAAAATAAAGGAACAGTAAGGGCAATATACTCATGATGTCTAAGTCGTATATTTTAGGACAATCATAAAATATTCAAGTAGTTGTACAGGTATAGTACAACTGAACAAGTAACTGCAGAATCATCAGAGGTCACCTGAACAGCAGTGTTCATCAAAAAACATAATCTCAAAGCAATGCAGCATTAACACAGACGGGTGAAGTATGTCCCTTTGCTTTCTCAGCGGGTCCTTTACCTGACATTGAAAACATGTTTGCTTTTCACTGGTTATTCTGCCCTTGCCCTGGAGATGTGAAAACGTAACAAAAGATTATAGTTCTCATGCTGGTTTTCATGATTGCCCAAAGTAGAGTTGACAATATATTTGATAATTGCTTTTTTGGCTCATCTCAGAAGTCTTCACTGATGTGTGCGATGCACTAGCAAGGTGATCCTGAGATATTTAGCAAGCTTAAACTTCTGATCTTTCTGCATGCCGCAGTGATAGTCACGCCAGGCACCACAAGAGGAAAACAGCACAAATGAGAGCTACTGATCCAACATCACTTTGAAAAAATAAAAAAAAAAAGGCATAACTTCTGTTTTGAAGTACGTTATTTGGTTGTGCCAAACCAGTACTTTGGTCCTTATGAAGATTTGGGTCAAGCTCTCAATAGTCCCTATTTTGTTTTGAGTATTTCTCATCAGACTGCCACGTTTGTGTGGGTTGTCAGTACAGTGTTGTGACTCTCAGTGTATTTACCTGGGAAAGACCTTTTCTTCAGTAATTCCAGCTATTGAAAATGTTCTCCGTGCCTGATTTTGAGGCTGAAGAAACTAATACATTTTACAACATACTGATTTTAATTTCTTATAGAAACTAGTCTTAGTGTCTCTGATTGTATACAAACATGATAAAATTATTTATTCTTTTGTATTTGCTCTTTTCCAAGCAGAAATGGAGCAACTGCAAAGAGTATTCTCACCTTTACATTCAACTTGTTTGGTTTCCTTCATCTTGTGTTGTTTATATTGCAGCCTACAATTCTGGTTTATGTGGCCAGTGTATCGATGATAAAAAGAGAACTGGCTTTTCCAGCTGCTTAAGTGAAGTAATCTCTTTCTAATTACAACTTATGTGCAGCCAAAGCGTGAGAATATGTATCTAGAATTCTTTACTATGGTCCACTATAATCTCGACTATTTCTGATAGATTTTTTTTTCATTTTAAATAGTTTGCCTCTCTTGGAGGTGTTTAAGTAATTTATTAACTCTATGCACAGCTTCTTCTATCTCATGTATTTCTAACACCTTCTGTCATCACAGCATCTGTGCCTCTGTCATTACACAGAAATGCTCCTGATTCTGTGAGATCCTTTGTCAGCAAAAGCTGAGTAACAGCATCAGCTCTTGTGGACTGGTTAGCTTCCTTCTCATTTACAGAACAGCTCACCTGGAGAAGTTGGCCTGGCCAGAACCCCTCATTCCCATCAGACAAGCCTGCTTAGTCGCTGCAGGAATTAGAAATATATGTCCAGGAGAGATGGAATTCCTTCAGCTCCTCTTGGGCAGCATTACCTAATTTTGTCATTTGTGTGAGAAATACTCCCCCTTCCCTAAGCTGGTTCTGAAATGTTCAGTTTCTGTCTTCAAAATAAATACATGACTCTCCATCCCCAAGTCCAAGAAAAGCTTAAAAGAATAGCCCAAAGACATCTGATATATTCTGAACCTAGAATGGAAATATAAATTATCCAATAAGTATAAGCATTTCTAATCAAATTATTGCTAGGTGAGCACAATTTGTTGTAGAAGCACAGTCAGACTTTCAAATGCTTGCGTTAGGCAGCGTTTCCATACTGCTTAATGTAGGAGCTAATGCAGCGTAGTATAAAAAATTTCGTAAAGGTTTCTTTAGCAAAACTGAGCTTCTAAATACGCCATGCAGTATAATAGCAATGCTCACTTCTCTCTGAAAATTAGTTCCAAGCAGGGTTCTAGCATTGCAGTAAGTTTAACATCTGCAGGTTCACCGTTCTTCCCCCCATAAATCAGACCAGGTTAACTTACCACCACAGCTCTGGTTATTAAAATTACACTAATGATTCGGATCTTTACGGGCTGATTCACTCCAGGAGGAATTTCTGAGTTGGAGAAATCGAAGTTGATTGCCCCCATGACCAACAATATAAATCCAGCAACAAAAACTGCTAGAAATAACACCAGCAGCATGTAAAGGACTGCCATTCTGCTGAGCAGCAAAGTGGTCTGAAACGTCTTTGGTTTGACTTTCCAAGATATCTTTGACTTGTTATTTCCTGATCCTTTGTTCGTTGTAAGGTTGCTCTAGTAAAAACCTTTGTCCTCCCTTTTACAAACACGTTAGTAGATATCTTTCCCTCTCCCACTCTCTCTTCCTCCTCCCTTTATTTCACAGAAGATAAGTTGCTCAAAGCCCTGAATTTGTTAACCAATCTTCCCCAGCATAATTGCAGTATTTTTTGCAAGAAACCAGTCTTTATCTGGGAGAAGACTTTTATGAATAAACTGCATTAATATTAAGTTAATCAGGGATGGAAAATGGACACGGCATTTGTGTGCTTTGAGTTTGTGAAACACTTCAGGAGGGTTTCTCTAGGGTTATGCAGAGATAGGAGACTGCGTATGGTGATTATTACTCTAAAGGGCCAGATGGCACCAATGGTTTTTTTGCAAAAGTGAGTCTATAAAATTATGTCATTACCTCAATCTCTGTTTATTTTGTATTTGTGTTTTCTTCTAAAAGAACATAGTTAAAAAACAAAAAAGGAGGCTGAGTGTAGATTCATGGTCAGGTTACCCTGTGTCAGGTAAACTTCAGTAACTCTCTGTGCAACAGGTACAGCATAAAGTGACTTAAGGTTGTCAGGAATTAGAGTTTCAAATCAAACTGCTTTATCTTGTTCTTTCTGTAGAATGGGATCGTGCTAAAGTAGAGATGCTGTAGTTTAAACTATGCTTGAGGTATTAATTGTGAATCTGAGTCTGCAGTTCTTCAAATAACTAGGATGGCAGAACATTGCTGAAATTGCAGATTCCCAGGGAAATGAAAGACGTAAAAATTTGACTTCATTAAGTGGCTGTGTTATGTATATATATATTTTTAGTTAAATTGTAAGTGGTGGGGGTAAAGCACTATGTCATTTTAGTTAGAAAACTTTATAAAAAATGAAATTTCTTACTTTTTTTTCCTGTGAGAAGTTGAGTGTTCTTAATAGGGTAGATGGTCATCATAAAATATTCTGAAGTAGAAGGAAATATTTTGTTTAAAAACAACAGAAGGCCAAATTAAAAAAAAAAAAAGTAGCCCACCCAGTGGTGTTTCTGGGCTTTCGGTTTGTGTTATGTTTCCACAGTATGTGATCATATACAATAGTCTTGGATAGTCCAGTTGCCTCTTAAATTAATTACTGTGCGCAGCACTGATTTGACTAGATAGGATTGGGAATGTTGTGGTCTATGTCTGCCAGTGTTGCATTGTTCCTTTCATCAGGAGGAGTATGTGTTTAGCAAATGTAACTTGCACTTGTAATAGAAGTATTTGAAGTACTAGTTTTTAATTTCTTTTTGGTGAAACGTCACAAAATTGCCACAGCATTACAGGCAATTATGTATTATTATTATTATATTATATAAACGTCACAAAATTGCCACAGCATTACATATAATGTTGTGCTTCTCTACCTTCTTACATCTGTGACCTTCAGAACTTTTTAACAAACATAGCATAACAGGTAGCATAGCACGTAGTCTTGAGTGTAAGATAATCTTGAAAGAAAAACAGAGTACAAAAAGGAAAAGAAATCTCACCTCTGCACTTCTTTAATGTGTACACTCATTAACGTTTGGGGATTCCAGTTTAAGAATCAAGTTCCAAAATGAAACATCATTTCTCAGATTACAAACAAAATCAAACTCAAACTAGTTCCCGTTCAGACCTTCTGCTCCAGACAGAAGCCTTTCTTTTGGCTACGCTTTTTCACTTTTTCAAGAAAAATGTACTCTTTGTGCAAACTAGCCCTAGAGATCAAGATGCCAATCTGCAGTTTCACTCTCTGGCGTAAGACTTCACAGAACCTGAATCGCTGGGCTCTCCATCTGGTGCCCTAAAACGTCTCCTGTCTCTCACAAGGGCCAGAGTAGACCCTGGTTGTTGTCTTCTGGGCAGTCAAAGAATCTTCAGGCAGAGTCATTCTTGCTGCTTGCCTTGAACATGTGCCAGCCACGCAAATAACCTAGAATTCCCAGAGTTGAAGTGACATCGTATGTGCCGGGTGCCTTGCTTTCGCATCTCGATCTTATTGATGTGTTTTTATAATAATATTTTCTGGAATGGTGGTGCTTTAAATAGTCAACATTTGTTTGAGAGTCACTGCAGAAGGATAAATTAGAAAGTATAAAATGCAGTCAAAATCCAAAACATAAATAGTTTATATTCTTTGCCATGTATAAATTCTTCAAGGATAATGCAAGATTTGCATCTTTGTTCTGAAAAATACTTTTATAAACTGTTTATATAATTCACAATATTATCCATTATCTTTTTTCCAGATGAAAAGGAAATAACCCCATAGCCAAAAAAGGCTAAAATTCCATGGAAACCACTCTCAGAATGATACCAGGTTACCGGAACGCCATTGTCTTCTAATCGCTTCTTGTATAACAGTCCATCATCCCTAAGGACATCAAACTCACAGGTCAAAATGTAGGATTCAGGGAGCTGGGAAATAATGGAGTCTTCAGCTAGAAGTGGGGAAAATGGTATTGCTAAAATTTCTTTGATTGCTTCATGGACTTCGGGTTTATATGAAGTGAATTTCTGTGGTGCGTAGCCTCTAGTCTTAAATTCATCAGGAATAATGTCAGCACTTACCCATTTTTTGTACTTCAATTTCATACTCTCAGGAACATGGCAATTTTGTATGACATCTTCCAAAAATACTGGTTTTTTATTAAGGTAACGAAAACAGAAGTAGATAACTAGCTTCCGAAACAATATGGGGACTGAAGCATTCTGCTGATAGGAAGGCAAATGAAAATCTAGCCCCTGTAGTCCTGGATAAAGTAAGACTTGCGCACGTACTTTTGGGAGATCTCTTTTATTCAGCAGTATTTGGCAAATAACCGTAGCAAAATTAGCTCCACAGCTGTCACCGCTGATGATGATGAGAGCAGGGTCCACATGATACTCTTCTAAATTCCTCATAAAATATAAGGTGGCATTGAGACAATCAAAATATTGCCCTGGGTATGGGTGTTCAGGAGATAAACGATAGCTGAAATGTCAAAGATATTGTGGTTATTGTTAATTACAAAAATTTAACTTGCGTTGTTCACGATTGACTGGTGTGGTAGTTATAGTTACGTAGGGCTTTTTTTCTAAATTTTAAAGATAATATTTGTTTTTAACTAGTGTAGATTGGAAAGGCAAACTAATGGTGTTACAGCTATTTTAGAATACTTTGCCTGGAAGCACATTTCTAAATTAAATGAAAGGCTAAGGTGAGAAATAGGGAGCACAATCTAAAATGCTAAATATTTTCAGCATAGTTTTCAGAGGTGTTTCAGCTGTGAACTGTATTACCATGAATACTTTTATGTAAAAGCAGCACTTACCCAACAGACACAACCACTGAGTTGCATTTTTTGGCAATATAACGGCATATTCTTTCAAAGGCTCCTAAAGAGAAAGTTTATCAGAAATTATGTTTTAAAAATCAAATATCCTTTTGAAATGAAAATACAGATGCTTGAACATACGCTCTGTGGAAGGCACTGCAACGTGAGACCAAGGAGTAACTTCTGCAATGCGGTCTTTACGTGTTAACAGCTCTTCTGTTATTGGTCAGTTTCCTGTTTTGTCCTTTTCTAATAACAATTCCTCCCATTTTATTTGCTTTTTGACTGCTACGGTGCACTAAGTCAACATTTTCAGGCAATTTTCTACCATAATCCCAAGATCTTCTTCCTGCAAGGGAGTAGTCTGCTTGGAGTCCATTGTTTTGTTTATAAACTCTGGGGAGCTCTGTCCCTCTGTTTGACTTCTCTGCATGCCACTTCACCTGTCATTTTATTGTCTAATCCTTTGCTGTCATAAAGACATTCTGCAGTTTTTCAGCTATCCATTTACTACCCTGAAGGACTTAGTATCGTATCAGTTTTCAGCATCTTTTCTATTTATGAACATATTGATCAGCACTGGTCCCAGCACAGGTCTCTTTATGGGAATCTCACAGGAACCTCCCACAACCCGTTTTTTTTTCTGTCTTTTAATCAGTTTTTATCCAAATGAAAGAGCTCCCTCTTCTGTCATGGCTGTGTAGCCGCTTTAATAGACTCTTGGAAATCAAAGTAGGTTTCATTTGCTGACTCATTTAAAAAGCTTAAATTGATTTGTGAAGCATGACTTCCATTTGTGTGGATTTTAAGAAAAAAGTCATATTTATCCATCCACTGATTCTGTTCCTTATAGCTTCTGCTAATTCCCTAGTTGCAGACTTCAGGCTTACTAGTGTGTAGATTGCCCAAGTCCTTTTAAAATGTTAGTTGCTTTCCTGTTGCCAAGTACGGACGGGGTTTCAAGTGAAAGGTCCTGTACTGCAGTCCGTGTATCGGTGGGGTATCATATTAAGCCGTGGCGTGTGATAGAGCTCCCTCAGTGTGCTGATTGTGCAACAGCAATTGGCTTGTGAACAACAGCTACAACTGCACAACTTTGTGGTGTGCTTTTTTTCTGCCCACGAAAGGAGTTCACCTTTTACTTAGATCATAGAGGCGTATCTCCTGAGTCCTCGCTGCCACCCAAACCAGCTCCAGAACTGGAAGCATCACAGCTGGTGTCAGCCCGACACCCCACCCAGATTAGCGTGCTCTGCAGTGAAACAAGGGTAGGTTATTTCTGCCACGGTGCAGAATGGGACCTAAGTTGCTAGGAGTTACGTTTTTCTTTCTGCATGATGCTGAACGAAGCCAGCTGGACTCTCAGGCTCATTGCAGATAACTGAAGTCTGCCTAACATAGTGCTAGTGGAGACTTACCCTTTGAAACACTAAAGGATTCAAAACCCACAAACTTCCCTGTCTGACTCTTGGAATGAAATCTAGATTTCCGTGTTAGGTGCCTTAGCTTCCAGGCAAAGCACACACAGACTTGGTTGCTCAGAAGGAGATCCAGAACAGCCAGGAGGCTGAGCCGGCAGCTACTGAGACAATCAAAGGGTTGTCTCCCTTTCTGAAAAAGAAAGAAAGTATTCTGTGCACTGTTACCACAAGAATCAAACTCCCCCAGATTGGTTCTATTTTTGGTGCTCGTTTATTATTCATATTTTCCTTCATTTTGATTCCTTGTTTGCATGACTGGGAATATATTTACAATTTTTTTTAATATGTTATTTAAATAATTTCATGGACCATGTTATACCTTTTAGATGTATGAATGACAGGTTGAGAAATACTGACTTTTGTAGTTTTTCTACACAAAAGTTGCATGCTGAGCACAGAAGTGCATCTTAAATTCTGTACTTTGAGGTCCTATCCAAGCTTACAGGAAACACTTTAGTCCAGTTGAGGCCCAAACCTAAAAATTCCTCCTTTAGAAGTAGCCAGAACATTGTTCCAAAGAACGAAGCCAGAATGTATTCTCTTTAGCAACAGCATTGCAATTTTTGTGATACTGTAATTATTCCAGAAAGCAGATCTAGGCTGAGTTCCCTATCAGCCTAAAAGCATCTTATGTTACGTTTCCAGTAAAGATGGAGTACAGAGAAGGAGGGAAGAGACATGGATTCTGACCCTTACTCCAGGGTCGCTATATCGTATTTCCAGCCAGCCATCAGTTAAGGTACAAGAACATCCTGTGAGCTGAACTTCCCTCACAGTGACCTGAGCATATGTGTTTTGTTTTAATGGTCTCTCTGCCCCAGCAAACTGAATCTTTCTCAGAACAGCTCCAACAGGAGTGGGAACAGAGTCCCTCTGCTGTTAGCTGACAGCTGATTGAACATTTTCTGGATCACAGTTCTGGATTTAGAAGCCTCAGATCTGCTAAGAGCTTTTCCTGTAGCCCAAAGGAAGCAGCAATGTGATTACCCTTGACTGTGCACTAGACTATTCGTTCCGCAAGGTGCTTTGCAGTTAGTAGTGAGATTGCAAAGACTATTGTCATTAGAAAGGAGAGGTGAGATATTGACTGACACGTATGAAGGTAAAAATATAAAGGTTTGGATTTGATTTTAAAAATAAAAATTGCTGATTTCTTACTAATGCTCCCAAATGTGCCAGCGCCTCCATGAAAATAGAGCATTCCTCTTCTTTTGCCAGTAGGTGGCCATTTAGGCTGATAAATCCTCAACGGTACCTCATCTACTTTGAGATCTTTGATAAGGAGTTTTGAATCCCTTGGTGGTGGTATTCCATCTATCAGAACTCGCAATAAGCTGAAATCACTGCAGATCCCTAGCTTCTCCAAAATCTTTCCCTGTTGAAAAGAAAGAATTCAGCACATGATTAGCATGAAAGGTCCCAATGCTCTTTCAATTAAAAAAAAAAAATCCTGGGTTTATTTTACTGTGTTGTATTTCAGAAGATCCTGGAGACAGTGCCTCAGTGGAGTTATTGTGACTGTTGAGAAGCCATTGAGCAGTTTTGATTGAATTAAGCGTTGATAAAGATTGCCAAAAAGTAGCGTGTCAAGCCCGTTCTGCATAGCCAGGTGTCCTCTTGCTCATTGTTTATTTTTGCATGTTTATTTTTGTGAAACTGAAAATAATCAGAAATGCATTTAATCTGAAAATACGGGGGAAAGAAAAAGCCTAATCTTTGATTTTGAATTAAGTGTTAGAAGTGATTACAGGTGTGAAGGTGATGAAAGCAGATTAGAACCATAGTTTATAGAAGTAGGCTCTGCTAAAATATGTGGGATTATCATGAGTTCTGGCATACAGCATGGTCAGGACAAATAGCATTTCTTTCTGTTTCTTACAGCTATAATGAAAAGAGGGCAACATTTTAGAAGATGTTGTATTATTTCTTATATTAAAGATACTGTGTATTTTGTGTGAAAATGTACAGAGAAAATTGTGTTACCCTAAGAAGAAATTTTTGAGGTTTGGTGGGAAAGAAGAGACTCACTGTATTCAAGCTGCACCATAGTGTCTTAACTTTCAGATCAACTGTTTTGAAGTCAAATAACAAAATAGTTTGCTATTTGTAAGGGAGCAGATCCAGTGGTCACTTTTAGCCCAAGGAAATTAGTGTTTTAAGACTAACATGCATAGATCTAGAAAGTGATTTAGCACATTCACTAAGAACTTTTTTTTTTTTTTTGTCTCTAAAAACCTGTGCAAAGTTTCTGTGATGCTGACAGTATCATACAACTTTGGAGACAGAAGAAACAAATTCCAACTTGATAGTTTTTAAATTCTGTAACACTTGCATTCAAGAAATTACTTGTCACCCCCATAGCTGTGAAAAGGAGTGGATTTCTTATTATCTTAAACTGGAAAAAATAGACTAAATTTTTGAAACTGAAAATATCCCATTTTAATTTTTTTTTCCGATAATAATTCGTTTCTATTTCCCATTTGAAAGATTTTCAATGTTGTCTCTATGTTATGGAGTTAATGGAAATGGGTATATTGGAGTTATGTAAAATTCACTATGGTGAGTAAATACACAAACACACAGGCATTTTTAAAGAATAAGCAAAACCTAAACACATTGTTCTTAAATACACCTCTGTCTTGCTTTCTGATACATACAAGAAGAAAGACCTCACCATTCCTATCCATTTTTATTTTATTGTTCATAGTACGCTGTGTGTATAAATCTATGAATATATAGGTATGATTGTCGATAATAAGTACAGAATGAAGCAAATGTGAAGAGGAGTAATGTAGGCTTGCTTCTGAATAGGCAGCATTATTATATGGACACGCAGTTCAATGGATACAGTATACATACGTTCTTTTTCTTTTGTTTTCTTAAGCCATTATCTTCCAGCTCCCAAATATCCTACCTAATAAAAGTGAAGTCCCCAGTTTTAAGACTTACCGAGATCATGGTTGTAATCAACAGTGAATGGAAAAGACGAAGCTTTAGAGGTTGGTCAATTCCAGGTGGCAGTTCTGAATTGAAAAAATCGTAAAATAACCCCCCCAGAAACAGTGCTGGTAGTATAACAGGAGAAATTAAAAACAATCCTGTTATTGCTAAGGTTGTATAAACAGATGCCATGTCACTTCAACAGAAGTGAACGCTAAAAAAACCTGCTCTGTCTCTAGCCTTGTTTTCAGGTGTTTCTGAGGTCTCTTCGCCGGAGATGAAGCACTCACTTCATAAGCAGAAATAAAAAGTTTGTTAATGTTGCAACACCCTAATTTTCTCCGCCCTTCTTTTGCTAATGATATTATTGGTAACACTTCCTTATCGTATAAAAAGGGGAGGGGGAAATTTTTACACTTTGCAGAAGGTGAAGTTTGGAGTATATGGGATTGATTTATCTCACGAGTTCTTCACTAACAACGAGAAATGATTTTTCAGAGGGGCCCTTATTTGAAGATTGTCTGGTTTGGTTTGGATTCATTACAGATGGACATTCTTGAAGTGTTAAAGTTTAGTGCTGTGGGGCTACTTGCAGTTGTTATCAAGGTATATACTTCTCTGAGAAGAAAAATATTCAAATCCACATTTCTTAATAACCTTTGTTTCATCATGGAATGCACAGTGGAAGTCTTAACGTACGTTAAGGTCTCTCTAGATACATGGTGGTGGGTTTGTAGAGTCAAGCCACTGTTCTTTCTGTAATTAGGAATTTTTTTCACTAATTAAACTCTCAGAATTTTATATTCATTGTAATTCTTCTTTGTGGTTTAATGTACAGGGATTATGAATGCAGGTATGTTATTAGTGAGGGATGATTAAAGCTGGTGGCAGTTTGGTGAAATGATTTTTCTGTTTTGTATTCTTACTAGCCGAATTTTGTCTTTCACAGAAATTTCGAGGTAAGGCTGCCTGACTTTTTTAATGTCCTGGGTTTTGAAATGGAATTTGAGTCTGAAAACTGAATTAGTCCTTGGTTCATTAGCAGAGCGTTTAAAGTAAAGCAATCGTGTCAGGTGTCAGCTGGTTTGCACAATGTTAGCTTGGGGAGATAAGAATGTGTGCAATAAGGCAACATACATTTGCACCAGTGTTGGTGAAATACACAAATCCTCAGCTGTCCACAGTAAGGGCTTTTCTTTGCTGAAGTTGGCTGATTTGTGGCCACCTTTCCCTTATATGGAGCACAAACTTATCATAGAATCATAGAATGAGTCTTATCTTACCGATATAGTTGGTTACAAATGTCAGACTGTAGAGTGTTGAAGCCAAACCCAGATACCCACGGTCAGTGTTCATTCTGTCCTGAGCTTATCAACATTTATCCACAGGGCTTTTTCTGCAGCACGGCAGGGTCATCCTGTTGATGGTTTTGGCTATTAGTTCTGTAAATAGTTTCTGTGTAGGGTGATATTATAGCACAGCCTGTGGGTTTGTTATTGAGTATCTGTTTTGCCATATATTCCCAGCAAAACAGCAGAACAACACAGTTCTTTCTGATGTCTGTGCCATCAGTAAAAATATCCTGAAATAAATTACCACACAGTGATCAGCTTTGAATATTGTATTTCGGCATTCTTGATGATTTCTTATGTTTAAATCCTCAGAGGAAGAAAATCCTGTGCTTTCAGAAGAACCTGCAATCAAGAATAGTAAACTCATAAAAGCACTTATTACTGCAGTGGCAGTAAACTACACTTTTACGAGCAACCAATAACAATTTAATTTAAAACCTAATATTTGGAATAGGTCAGTTCAGATTGTGAAAGCTTCCTGCCAAAGAGGACATGTGTGTCTGCTGTAGTTGTATAAGCTGCTGCTGACACCGTATTGGCAGCAGCCTTTTCCTCACAGTATTCAGTGAGTCAATAATTAAACACCTTTAATCAAAATCAAAACACCTCACTGATGCCATCTCTGTTTTGAAACTTTGGTGGATCTGATAGAGTGGGAGGAATATTTCTTTACTGTCTTTTTAATTTAAAAATAAATTTTAAAAGGGACAGTTTGGGGTTTTTGTTTGCTTTTACAGTTTGTACAGTTGTGACAGTCTGAAAAAAAATCTTTCAGTTATGCATTATAGCCCTTCTGTTGTTAAAGAAATGTTGGTTAAGTAATGTTTTGAAATAATATCTTAGCATTTTGCTCTTATTTAATATCTTAATATTTTAATCTTAGCGCATACTCTGAGTCTGCTCAGTTAGAGCATATTCTAACTACGGTGTGCCAGCACCTCAGTCCTTCCTCCCTGTCCTGTTACCACAGTTTCCATGGTTTTCCAGAATCAAGCAAATCCCATGGACTTAGAGCTGCTCGGTCCTTCTAGGGATGCTCATATTCACAACACTTTCATGATATTTGGTGCCTCACATGTCTCCATCCTCTTGCTGCATGTCACTTTTCTCCTGATGCTTGTTCAGAGATGCTTCAGATATTTCCAGTCTGGTCAGTCGTTCCTAACCTGCAAATGTATGGGTAGAAATATCTATGATCACTGTCAGTCTCTCAAGTTTCTAACAGTCAGTGGGTTTTTTGGTGTTCTTTCTCCCAACAGTTTTTCAGGTGTTAAATTGTCAAAACAGTGTTTTATTCCCTTTCAGTGCACTCCATGAAGTGAGTACCTTACATCTTTGTGGATAAAAAGGCCTTTTCTCTTTCTGGCAGTAGATAGATAGCCAACTTGGATAAAAAGGTATTAGTAGTAACTGCCTAAACTGTAGGAGTTTGCTGATATGTTTTGCTACATCCAATCTTTTATTCTTTCAGCAAGCTCATTGCAAAACCTCGGCTCCCACCAAGTCTTTACCTATCCATATAGGATATGATGTATAGGATGAGAACAGCCCTGCAAAGAAGGTTCAAGTGATTCTACTGAACTGGACAAAATTTACATGGCTTGGAATCTGGCATTGTAATGTGCGTTGTGGATATGCACACGGTTCCTTATTCTTGTAAACCAGGCAGCTACTCAGAGCTGATCACAAAATTGATCCTTTATTCATTGGATTTAGTGTTGCTGGAGACTGACGTGTAATGTATCAGTTGGTGAGTACAGAATTGATGACAATTCGGTAAATTCTTCCTATTTTCTCATCAGCGAGCCTCCTTTTATGCAAGAAGTTAGTCACCTCTAAAATTCATTCTTTTCTTAATTTTTCAGCATATTTCTAATGGTCATACTAATGATGGGAAGGCAAAATATTATAACAATACCTTTTCAAAGAAATACGATCTCTGATGGTTTTTCCCCAGCTTAACCTGTCAATTTTTGTAAGGTTTATGTAGATGTGGAATCACAGACCTCTTTGTGGATGGAGAATGTGTAAAACTCATCAGCTTCACATCAATTGTTTAGCAGCATAAGAGGCAGGTGGCTTTCAAACCAAGCACTAGTAAAGGCAGAACTGTCAGGGTAGCTGGTGCTGATGAGTTATGCAGATGTCATGTGTTACTGTTTTTCTTGTAATGTTTTTCTCTAAAATATTGCAAAACATTTCACTTCTGCTTGTAGGCTGTGTTTCCTAACACAGTTAGCCTGTAGTTAGTTGACTATTGCGGGGCTGCTATGTGTAATACAGGAAATACTATGAGGATTAACTAAATCATGGAAAAGTGGCCAGCTGTAATGACTGAGGTGTCAACTCCGTCAAGAATAGCCAGGCTTAATAACTAACCGGAAGGCATTTAGCTAAAAAAAACAGAAAAAAAATAATGTATTCCAAAGAAGAATTAAAAGCAGAAATAATAGCTTCTGATACATCCCTTTTTTTTTTTTTTTTTTTTTTTTCCAAATGTACATTTCAAAATGAAACCCCCTGGTAAATGTAATTTGCCTGGGTTTGGGGGATTTGTTTTGTGGTTTATTTTTTAATTATTTACTGCTGGTAATTTACTAGGACAATTAGACTGTGTAGTGCAATTTAACTAACTTTGGTTTTACCAAGTAGAACATCTAACACACTGTCCTCCAGTTCACATTTCTTTTCTTGTATTTATGTAAACAAATGACTGAAAGCATCTCAGACCTCTTCATACCTGTAAGGCTTAGTCTTCCAATCTGTGATACGGAGTTAGTGTGCCCTTCACAGTGACAAAAAGAAGCTTTAAGAAATTACAGCTTAGTATGTGCTCTATGATACTGGTTTTTAAAGGTGATATATATTTGCTGGATCTATCTCCTTCTTCATTTAGCCTGCCTCCTACCTATCTTTCGGTGTACTCCTTTTATGTTATCTTCATCTCCCCACCCAGATTAGTAGCTACTCCCTGTGCGTTTGGTCTTACTCATGACTGAAAGCCATCCTTCATTTAGTCTGCTGTAAATCTTTATTTGAACCTTCCTTCCTCTAAGTTATTCTTTGAAGTCTATGCCTTCCGAATGACTCCTGGGTCAAATGTCTGCTAACAAATTCTGCAGTAAAAAGCTGTACTGTATAAAAAAAATCAAATAAAATGATGATAAATATTATATGTTAACATTCAGCAATGGAAATTCAGATCTTGTGCTGTGCACTTCAGAGCAGGTACATTTTTGAAATAGGGACTGGCCGGGTTTTTGTTACGTGGCATTTTGAAATGTGGATGTGTCCTTGGATGTATGTCTCGGTAGCTGTGCAGTGGTGTTCCTCAGAACGGATGAACTCTTACGGAGTCGAAATAAGCTGCTCCGGAACATCCACCTGGGATTTTATGACAGGTCACCACTGTCTTTAATTTGTTGTGGACAGATTTGGCTGAGACTCATTACTCTAAATATTTAGGTTAGCAGTTTCTTCACTATCATGAGACAGTCAGCACACACAATGAATCATTGAGGTAATGGGCAATCAGAGAAAGAAGATTGGCAGGAATAGAAGCAGCCATAGTTTGCAGGATTATGCCTATTTATTTCAGGGCTAGTACAGAGAAGGTGCATCATAGGCAAATAATAATGTTAAATCTTATAAATAATATTATTTAT